TATATATATATATATATATATAGATTCAGTAAAACTATGATACTTATAATTGGCTAGACATAGTTTTCTTTGAGCATCAAACCAAAAGATAAGCAAGAATTTTTACTAAGAAGATCCCTCTCCTTAATCTAATTTTGCACTTGCTCCCATGAAGAAAGAAATTAAAAAACCAGGATCAAGAAAACTCTACCATACTCTAGTCGGAAAATAAGCCAGCAGAACCTGCAATTAAATTATATTACCTCTTTTATGCTGATGATTAAGCCATCGGTTGTTCAAATCGAAAGTGATATACGAAGGAGAAACTAATTACATGTGTTCATACGAATGATAAGAGTAGGCAAAAATGAAGAAATCTTGCCGCAAAATTCAGCCACGTCTCTGGTTCTTCCAAGCTTCTTCAAGATTTGATGCTTCCAGCTGAAATTCAATCTTATAAAAATGCAATATATCTTCTTTTTGAAAGGAAAAGATTCTTCATTCTCAGAAACCCTAAAAAGGAAAAGGTTTGTGTTGCATAATATGCACATGTGGTGGATATCTATTCCTAACAGTTGTGTAGCCCACTCCACATTTTCTTTGCCTTTTCATCATAATAAGCTCGCACTATCACTAACCTTAGCTATTACAGTGGAAATGTTACATAATTTCATCCTAAACACTATAGCTACAGACTCTGCTCCAACTTTTATGGTAATTTCACCATGAGTTAAAACTGTAAAAGAGTGTACTATTTTACCATGACAAAAGAAAATCAATTAATTACATATAGTAGCAGGTTCCTCGGAGAGGATTTGAGTGGCTGAAAAAGTTCACAGGGAAGACATTTGCCTAACTCTTTAGCAAATCAAATGCCTCATCATCAACACCAAACTTCAAAATTATCTAATTAAATAATCAACAGATAATTGGCAGTATCTCAGCACCATAAAATCAAGACAAACGTTTTCATTTATTTTACACTGATGATGCTGACTCTCAAAAATTGGATGACATATATTACAAAATAATACATTAGAATCTAATGATCAAATTTTAGAGTATGTACGTACATCTTAGCATTATCAATATGACTATTTTATCTCGTTGGGGTGAAATAAGAATAAAATCACATAAATTAAAAAAATAGAATGAACTCTAAAACCCTTTTATAGTCTAAAATGGAAAACTATCTTTATATGTGCATATTATTAGAGAAGTCATCATAAATGATATAGATTACTGACTATTTTTAGTTAGACTAAAATATTTAAATTCAACATTGGTGATATTGATAATTTCTTAGTTTAACTAGCACAACTGTTAAATAAAAAATTCTTTTAGAGACTAGCTACGATCTTTGCCAGTGTTATTGACCTTGCTGATCAGAGAACCAGATCAATAAGCTTGTCTTTATGAATTGTGTCAACAAAATTCATGGTCGGCTTATTTGAATCTGACCACAATACTTATGTGCTTCATAGCTCTAAATGTTTCACTTTTGCTTTAATTTTTCTAATATACATGATTTGCACAACCACAATGGCCTTAATAAAGTCAAAACAGCCCATCATAGTAAAACCTCTTATTGTGGTTTTTTATGGATAGTTGATGCTATGTGAGATGACCCCATATTGATTTAGGTTAGTCAAGAGTGGTAGATAGATCTTATAAGTCACTTATGCCAACAACTGTTGTGCAATTTAGGGCGAAACAACGCATACCCAGAAGAAGAACACACAGATTTACGTGGTTCGACAGATTGCCTACATCCACGGAGTTGCAAAAGATTTTACTACTTGAGGAATTTACACCAGTCGATCACCTCGACTTACAAGAGGAATCTCTCACTCTCACTTCGTTGCTCCCTCTTCTTCTATCTCTGTTTTTCTGACACTACACTGAGATACACCGAAGAAACTCTACACCGAGATACACAGAAGAAGATAAACTTACAAGAAAAATAAAACCAATTTCTCTTCTACCACAAGCCACCAAGAAGAAGCCAAGGTAAAACAATCTTCTTCTTCCTTCACGACAAGGAACTACTTCTTGCACCTTCCTTCCTCTATCCTGAGGAAAATCGAAGAAGAACACCGTGACTTCTAAAACTGAAGGAGAGTTGTAGGAAGTCTTTTATCACGAACAGGAGGGAGCAAAGGGATACTATACTTCACAACATAGGCGGGAACGGTTGGCGCCCGATCGAAGAGGCAGGAGGCGCGACCCTTCACGAACGGGAGCGGGAGTGGGATTGCGACGTTTCGCGATCGGGGAAACGGGAGAGGGAAAAATCGGGCTCCAAATATTAACAATCTCTCACTTTGAGACTGATACACCTGCTACAATATCTTCTTCCTCAAACTGTTATCCTCCACTGACGGTGTCGCCCTTTTCTTCAAACATGAATCCTCCATGAATCCTCAAACTTGAAGCCTCCACCTCCATAACTCAAAGCCTTGTCTTCACTCCAAAAGTCCAACTGAAGTTGTACACAACTTCAATTTCTCAAGAGAAACACCCTCAATCAATATGTCAGTAGGGTCCAAATAGCCTTGCACCTCCAAGCTATTTCCTGGATTACTCTTGTCTCTACTTACAACTCCCACTACATGGGCAATATCTTGTCTCTGCTGAAAGCCTTTTTCAACAAGTCAAGTCTTATACCTCTTACTGTCATCAAGCTCAGTTTTCACCTCGTACACCCACTTATTGTGTAATGTTTTCTTCCCTTATGGAAGTTCTGTCAGCTTCCACTTGCTCGAACTTTTATCTTGCAAGATTTCTTCATAGCTCTTTGGTTCTCCATCATTTGTCTGAGGAACAATAGGAATGGGTGCCCCGGACTCACTTTCCTCTTCACTTCTATCATCAATAAAACTATGAACTGCCAGCAATAGCGCATCTTGTACTTCTTCAGATACCACATTTGCGCTATCATTCTCAACCTTCTTGGGATTCCTGCAGTTCCTCCTTATGTGGCCAGCCGCCACAATTCCAACAGGTTACCTGCTGACTAGACTTTAATTTTGATCTCCCTCTATTTGAGTTCTTGTCCTGTCATCTCTCTCTAAAATCAACATTCAGTGTCGAACTCGTACATGAGATCTCATCAGAATCTTTTCTGTGCACCTCCTTAGCTAAAATCAAATCACGAATATCATCATATTTCAGTTTAGATTTACCTGCAGAACTGCTAACTACCATCCTCATGGCTTCCCAACTATTTGACAACGATGCCAACAATATCATCGCACGTATCGCACGTATCTCATCATCATCATCAAAATCAATTTCAACATACGACAATTGATTTGGGATAGTATTGAAATCATTCAGGTGTTGAACAACAGAAACACCTTCCACTATCTTCAAGTTGAATAAATTCTTCATAAAGTACACATTGTTCTTCGCCGATAACTTTTCATACATACCTGATAAGGCTGCCAAGAGATCTGCAGTCGTCCTCTCCTTGACGACGTTGTGTGCAATAAGCCTCGATAGGGTCAATCAAATTTCAATCGAATAACCCCCATAACTTGTCGATCCAACAAATTACATTTAGTCTCATCCATCCTTTCAGGTCTTTTTCCCAATAATGAAAGATGAAGTTTCTTCTCATAAAGATAATCCTCTATATGCATTCTCCAGTAACCAAAATCTGTGTCATCAAACTTCTCGATCCCTGAAAGCTTTACTTCATCTGCAGTCATCATTCTTCCTCAGATCCTAATAAAACTCTGATATCAGTTGTTGTGCTATTTAGGGTGAAAAAATGCAAATCCAGAAGAAGAACACATAGATTTACGTGGTTCGACAAATTGCCTATGTCCATGGAGTTGCAGAGGATTTTACTACTTGAGGAATTTACACCAGCCGATCACCTCGACTTACAAGAGGAATCTCTCACTCTCACTTTGTTGCTCTCTCATCTTCTCTCTCTGTTCTTCTCTCTCTACTCCGATATACACCGAAGAAACTCTACACCGAGATACACCGAAGAAGATAAACTTACAAAAGAAATAAACCCAATATTTTTTCTACCACAAGCCACCAAGAAGAAGCCAAGGGAGAATAATCTGTTTTTCTTCTTTCTTCTTCCTTCACCGCAAGGAACTACTTCTTGCTCATTCCTTCCTCTATCCCGAGGAAAATCGAAGAAGAACATCGTGACTTCTAAAACTGAAGAAGAGCCGTCTGAAGCCTTTTATCACGAACAGCAGGGAGTGAAGGGATGCTACGCTTCACAACATAGGCGAGAGCGGTTGGCGCGCGACTGAAGAGGCGGGAGGCACGACTCTTCACAAATGGGAGCGGGAGTGGGATCGCGACGTTTCGCGATCAGGGAGGCGGGAGCGGGAAAATCCGGGCTCCAACGCTTAACAACAACCTCACTCTAAAGGAAATGTTCATAATAATGTACTTAGGAAGCTCCATCAATTCCATTTGTAGCACGCATAGGAGCATTATATGGTTGTATTTTATAGTATTTTGGATCATTTTCTTCTATATATTATTGTATTCATTAAAGTATGACTTATTTTGATTATTTATTTACATTATTTATTTTAGAAGATTACCATAAATTGGATTTACTACTTGAGGAAATTAAACAATTTTAAATGACCCATAAAAAAAGCATGGAAAAATGCACCGGCACTTTATCATACAAGAGCTCTATAAATATCTTTTCATAAATTTGCATTATATATTTTGACATAAGCAAATTGGACAAAAATGTATTAATCTATTATCCATAATTTTGGATACATTTAAATGAAGTTTTATGAGCGCCAAGTGAAAATGAGTGCCACCTAATACAAATTTTACCCTCAAGGCATAGGGGCTTCTTAAGAGAGGGCCTATATGTCCAAGTGTGTGGCTTTAATAGTCATGTTGGGAAAATCAAATATGGTTGGGTCATTTTATCATAGAGAGATAACAAGGGGGCCAATGTAAATAGATGACATTCAATTACATTGTATTGGCTAGGTTATGAATATTTAGTTATTCATGTTAAGAGATCTACATCAACAAAAAAATTTTGATAATGGTCAAGGAAGCAAGAGAGGGACTAATGTTTATAAAAGGCAAAAAAGAAGAAGAGGAAGAATATGATGATGATGATGTAGATGAGGATGAGGTTGATGACTTGGATATTTTATATATTGTAGATAGTTTGTGTGTGCTTTCGTATTATATGTTCAACAAGGTTTTTTTTGCAAGTAGTCGTTTTGATGATATACATTCATAGCTTGAATGAAATGTGTGTATCGTTAATATGTTGTTGGTAATGAGTATGGTAAAGTGAACAATATTTTTATCTTCGACGCTGTTCATAATTGGAAATTGTATATTCATTATTCGTTATTTGCATGAATAAAGTTGCCTTTAATTTATGAAAAATACATAAAGTATTCGAGGTGCAATCAAGGAGAGATTAGGGTGTCTCTCATCCATTATAATTGAAAAAAAAAAATCTATTAAACTAATCTGAACTATGAAAATTCTATCTTTATATCCTCATGTAGTGATGTATCTTCTGAAAGTTTGCCCTCTTTAAGTTTAGATAAATTCACCCTCTCTTTTACTTTACTTTTTAGCGCTTTAAGACTGATACACAATCACAACCGAGCGTAAGAAATTATACAAAATATT